AACTGTCATTGTGTCACAGAACACCTCCATAACTATCAAAGGGAGCCTTATTTCATCTCGTTTAGATTATTGCATCAGTCTTTTTACATGTCTAAACAAAACCTCCTTGACTCGGCTTCAGTCTGTGCAGAACGCTGCAGCGAGGTTATTAACAAAGACCCACAGGAGAGCCCACATTACACCTGGTTTAGCCACTCTGCACTGGCTCCCTGTGCATTTGAGGAGTCATTTAAAATTTTTAGTTTTAACTTTCAGAGCACTTCATGGTCAGGCCCCCAAATACATACTGGACCTTCTGAAGCCTCTCTGTCCATCCAGGACTCTGAGGTCTTCTAATCAAATGCTGCTGGTGGTCCCTCGAACCCATTATAAAACCCGTGGAGACAAAGCTTTTCAGGTGGTGGCCCTGAGGCTCTGGAAGAGCCCCTCTGTCCCTTCGCTGCTCAGATTCTACTGACTCTTTTAAGAAACATCTGAAGACATTTTTATTCAGACAGGCTTTTAGTTAGGTGCTTTTTATTGTGTTTTAATTGTTGTTTTTCTATCTGTGATCTGTTTTATTGTTTTTAATCGTTTTTGCTTTCTGTGAAGCACTTTGTGATGTTTGTCTGTGAAAGGTGCTATAGAAAAAAAGTTTACTTACTTACTTACATACTTACTTACTTACTTAATTGGTTTTTATTTTGAAAACCGGAAGTCTGTTCATTTAGACAGGAAGTGTGATGTGTGACAGACAGTGCTAACTTAACCTCTAAACTCACTCATGTAGCAACAGTTTGTTRAGAAAAAAGAAAGATTAAGAGTTTAAATGTGTGCAGAGGGAACAAATTAACATATTAAACCATTTCTTGGTCAGTTTTTTTATGAGTCAGAGAAACTGAAGATCCAGGCCCTCGTGTTCAAGAAGGGTAAAGTGTGATCCTTGGATGGCAAGCCTCCCAGCTTGAATCCAGAGTCTTCAACTACTTACCTTTTTTTTTTACAATCCCTCTGACAAAGGGCCCAGTTGAAAAATAGTGTAGTATTATTTTTATTTTATGTCGTATTGTTATTATGGTGATTATAAAGTTCACAAAAACCACAATTAACTGTGTATCTATGTTGTCGGGGGCTTCATGCCCCCAGTAGGGTCACCCAAGGCAAACAGGTCCTAGGTGAGGGATCAGACAAAGTGCAGCCAAAAGACCCCTATGATGAGTACCACAAATGGAGTCAGTGTTCCCTCGCCCGGACGCGGGTCACCAGGGCCCCACTCTTGAGCTAGGCCCGGAGGTGGGGCACGTTGGCCAGTGCCTGGTCGCCGGGCTTTCACCCATGAAGCCCAGTTGGGCACAGCCCGAAGAGGAGAAGTGGGTCCCCCTTCCCATGGGCTCACCACCTGTGGGAGGGACTGTAGGGTTTGGGTGCATTGTGTGTTGGACAGTGGTTGAGGCCGGGGACCTTGGCAGTCCAATCCTCGGCTACAGAAGCTGGCTCTAGGGTCGTGGAATGTCACCTCTCTGGTGGGGAAGGAGCCTGAGCTGGTGTGTGAGGTTGAGAGGTTCTGATTAGATATAGTTGGACTCACCTCGACGCACCACTCTGGCTCTGGAACCAGTCTCCTCGAGAGGKTTTGGACACTCTTCCACTCTGGAGTTGCCCATGCTGAGAGGCGCCGAGCAGGAGTGGGCATACTTATTGCCCCCCATCTTGGTGCCTGTACATTGGGGTTCACCCCGGTGAATGAGAGGGTAGCCTCCCTCCACCTACAGGTGGGGGGAATGGGTCCTGACTGTTGT